CCCAGTAAAATTTACCTCATGTGGTAAGTCACCCTTGGCAAGGCATACAGCACTGAAGAGTCAGGGAGAGGGGAACATCAGAAGGCAGATGGATAAGAACAGGGCCAGAAGGACCCCAGGAGGTGTGGTGTGCGGGGAGCAGGAAGACGGGACAGCGCTGCCACTTCCCTTGGGATGAGCTTCTTGTAGCACTCAAGGAGTGAATGATGAATAAAATCCCATAACCTCTCAACTGCTTTTGATTTCTTAACTCCTGTGTCTGGGACACTTTGGAACATCACCATCAGGCTCTTCTGGGGTCTGACGATCCTCTTGGCCATGTAAATAAGCACAAGGGAAGACTACCCTGAGAGAGTGACACCAGGTAGGTGGTCTGAAAGCACACTGGAACTGAAAATCCTTCCAGGACCATGCTGAGGAGGGATGGATTAAAGGGCACAGTTGGTGTTTACATTTCCCTTTCCTGACTACTTATTAGACTTTGCATTTCCTAAAATTGAAAAATCCCACCTCCTGAGTTCCAAAATAAAACATATTTATGGTACATAATTAGGCTTTAATTAAGATCTCCTCTGGGTGTGTGAGACAACATACATTTCTCGCACACTCGAATAGGCAAATAGACGCGGCCTATTATTTATTCTATACAGAAAGCTGCCTATTATACCCAGGCAACATTGGCTCTTGCAGCAAAGCTGTAATTCTTCCCATGATCCAAAGGGAGCAATGAGCTTTCCAAAGAGGTGTATCTCATAAGTGAAATCTTGGCACCTTCCAGGCACCAGGGAACCCAGTCAAGATGGTATTAGGGAGGAATTACAGGTTCAGGATTATATTTTCCTATTCATCTATCAAGAACTGTATATGGCAAGGGACTGAGGAACTGAGCAGTTGTCAGGTGCATAGACTTGACACTGATAGTTAGATGGACTTGGTTCTCAGTCGTCAGGGTCTTCTACCGCCTTTCCTTTCTTGATCAAATTAAGAGCTATTACCAATCGCAATTCCCTAGCAGTATAAAATAATTGAAGCACATGCCCCTTGTCAAAGTAGTTGTCTGGCTTCTGGACTCCTGGAGGCATCACCTTCGTCAGATACTAGAAGGAGGCGTGGGCTATATGCTGTCCAGAGCGATACAGGCATCCCCAAATTCACTGACGAGTGAGATCTTCAGTTACCTGGCTAACAAACCCTTCCCTTTTCTGTAAGACAAAGGGTTTTTCTGTCTGCCTATGTCCCAGGTGGGCTCTGACCTAGATTTCCTTTGAGATTAATATATGCACCATACCACATGAGGTTCCATCTTAGAAAGACCCCAACAGTCTGAGATTTGGACCACTGTTCACATGGATAAGGAGAGTAAAGACTTGGTATACATGGTATCCAAAACTCCTAAATCCACGGACATAAACCATGTAGTTGAGGTCACCTCCTTAGCAACTGTCAATATACATGAGGGCAAAATATTTCCTAAGAATTTGCTTTCTTCAAAGTCTCAAGAGGTATCCCAGTGAAGAAGTCCACAGTACAGCCAAATCAGGTCACAATCTTTAAGGTCATGACCAAGTTGTCTCACTCATCTTTGCAAACTGTCAAATTATTTCATTACCAAGACACACAGGTATTTGTTGAACAAATCATAATAAAGAATGAATTTCTGTTTGTCTTTTGGATTTTTATAAAAGAAGGTTCAGGGGAGAGGGAAAAAAAACAAACAGAGCTACCCAGAATGAAAGCTGCTGGATAAATTACTCTCGACTTATGAAAGCTCCGTAATAATGGGTTTCTGGTCAAATTCAGTTTTATTGTGGGAGTGAGTGACTTCCAATTTCCCATTAATAGTAGTATTAGTATGCTTTATAATGGAAGCATCTACCATTTTTACCAGTTAATAGGCATCAGATACTGAAGTGGGCCATTTATGTATATTGTTGCTAAATTTTGTAGTAACTTAACAAGATAATTCCATTTTACAACTGCAGAAACGGAGGTTCAAATTACCAAAGGTTGAGGGTTCATGACTCTACTAACAATGGTGATTTCTTCATCACCACACCTGGTAAAACAATCTCTAGGTATTCAGCCTTTTTTTAGTGTGTGTGTATGTGTGTGTGTGTGTGTGTGTGTGTGTGTGCACGTGCACCTGCCTGAGTTTATGTGTACCATGTGTGTGCAAATACCCAAGAATGCCAGAAGAAGGTGTTAGGTCCCATGGAACTTCAGTTACAGGTAGTGGTAAGCCACCCAACATGGGTGCTGGGAACTGAACCCAGGTCCACTGAGCCATCTCTCCAGCCCCAGGTGTTGAGCTTGATTACTTTAGTTTTCTGACAATTGGATTTAAGGAAACATAGTAATAGTTTTTGGAAATCACCTAAGAGATCTGTTTTGAATGAAGAAAGCAGCTTTCTGAACAATAACAAAAGTAACTTTTATCTTGTCTATTGTGTGTTTTGTTTAATAAAAAAGAAAATAATTCTAGTTTTGAAATTCCTCATAGTTTGGACTAAAGACATCTTCTTAAGCCCTGGCAATCATTCTAGACAATTATCAGTGGTCTCACATGACAGCATGATGGCAGCATGCAAGATGGCTGAGAGATAGGCAAAAGCCTCTCTTACAGTCTACTTGAAGAGAAAAAAGAAATACACTAAGCAATTTTTGAATATTTAAATGTTCAAGATCATTAAAAACCAGGAAGTATGGGCTCTGAAAAAGGTAGAGTCAAAGCAGACTTGGTGGACATAAAACCAGGCCTTTAAAGGATCTGCTGGCTGGTGTAGGCTGGGAGAAAAAAGACCCTCTGGGAGGTAGGGTCTCTCCCTGCTCCTCATGGATACAGATGGAATAAGAGCAGGTGTCAGGGCTGTGAGCAGTATGACATTCTACTTCTTGGGGTGTGGAGGAAGGTTGAACATTCTGTTGGTGGTCAAAGTGAAATCCTCTTCACCAGGACCTTTGTGTCAGGTCTTAACTCATTGGACTTGGTCTGAGCCCCAAGTCTGCCCCTTCTTTAGTTTCTGTTTCTTCAGTGCATAAGCACACTACAGCTTCTGGGCCAGCAAGATGGTTCATCGGGTAAAGCTCTGGCAGTGCAAGCCTGGTGACCTGAGTTCCATCCCCAGAACCCAGGTAAAGGAGGTGGAAGAAGAGAGCTGACTCCATAAAGTTATTCTCTGACCTCCACAGGCCCACCATGGTGCACACACCCTCTATACATTATCAAAACACATAATAAGAAATACATTTTTTTAAGAAAAGAATATTTGGAGCTTCTGCCTCTGTCTGCTGAGAGGTGAGAAGAGGCCATTGTACTCTAAGGGCCAAGGAGAGGGACAGGGATGAGGCCTCAGTGATGAAGGAGAAGCCTCTGGCTTCAGTGAATGCAGTTTTGGGTGCTGAGAAAATGCTTCTTCCCCTCAGTCTGCTATGATGGGTCTTCTACCACAGGAACCTGATGCCCCTCTCTCGCCATCCTTCTCTCCCCTCTTAGAGAAATCATGACTTCTCACCCTGCCCTCTCCAAAAAATACATTTGTAGAGACCTTTGACTCTCTTTCCTCCCCTCTCTGACTACAAGCACACAATCTGCTTGTTCTGAGCTGACCTATCACCACCATCAGCTCTCTTCTCTTAGTAAGTTCCCTGAGGAGCAGGATCCCCTGTCTTGAAGCACAGAATGCACTTCCTTCCCCATCCTGGGGCCCATCAGACACAAGTAGGTCTAATCATTGGATTCAATTAGGTTTTACAGGATGCCAAAGAGAATGTTTATCCCTTTCCTGGGATCGTCTGAGTGGAAACTATTCATACAACCACAGCAACACTCAGGAACGTAAATTCAATTGTCTCCATGTGCCAAGAAAGTCCCTGCTGTCACACACTACTAGTCAGGGACCTGTCCCAGCCTTACCCCTCTGCTGCTTGCTGGCCATGTCTGTTGGTGAAACTTAAAGTCTTCTGAAGGGGGATGAGCCAGGAAAATTCCCTTAGAGAATTTAATGCAGATGTTGGCCATTTAACTGCTTTATGAACCCAAGAACTTGTAGAGATGTGTGGAAAATACTGAAACTTTCCCCACATTCACGTGCACCATTTTATGTGATGAAATTCAACATCATTCATACTGGCTAGCAACCGAGTTCCCTTGTGAATTATGAACGAGTGTTCATTGGGAATTCAGTCCACAATGGGACTCCAGCATTGTCTTCCACAGTGGTGAGTAGGATGGACCAAGGAAAAAGGTGTATGTTCCCCAGTGCTTGGAACTTTCTTACAGGCCATGTTTTCTACTAATGAAGAACCAGAAAATAGAAATATGTAGATACCAAATACATTATGATTCAAACCTGGGTATTAGGGAAGCAGAGCCATTGTGTATCCCAAGACCCTTCAAGTCAGTGTCATCAACACCGATGGATGGGAAGTTAAAAACTTTGTAGTAAAAGGAAAAGAAGGGCTGAAGAGATGGCTCAGCAGCTACGAGTGCTTGCTGTTCTTGCAGAGGATCTGAGTTCTGTTCCCAGTTACCCACATCAGGTGGCTCACAACTGCCTGTAGCTCCAGCTCCAGAGGAGGGGATCTGACATCCTCTTCTGACCTCCTCAGGCAACCACATACACATATACACAGACACACAGACACACAGACACACACACACACACACAGAAATAAAAATAAATATTTTAATTAAAAATTTACAATAATAAAATGAAAGACCCCTTTTAACCCCTGCACTGCAGGTATCACAGGTGTTTGTGAAATCTTCTAAGAATAGCCTCATGATGTAGCAGAGCTGCTTCCACATTACAGGTGGAGAAACTAAGGCTTGGAGAGTTTGGCTACAAAGGAGAGAAGCCAGTTTTCAAGCCCATCTCTTCTCTGAGTTCTTGGCCATTTTCTGAATTCCCCTTACACCTTCTACTCTCTCTGAGCATTTTTTATGCAGAAAGTATTTTATTTAAAAAAAATAGTTATTGAAAAACTTTTACACCTTTCAGCAGCACAGGTACCAAAGATTTTATCAAGAAAGAGGAGGCCAAACCTGGGGAGATTGACAGTCAGCCCAGAAATGCACAGCCCAAGAGTATCTGGGGAGAAGAGCAGACAGAAATCACAGCTGCCAGCAAAGTCTCCAATGCTCCTGGGAGCAGGTAGGGCCTGTGCTTGCTGCCTGGGCCTCAGGGAGGAGGATTCACTTGTGCTGTTTTTGTTACCTAGTAAATTTGTTCTGATTTTTAGATGCTTAATACTTTTATGTGATGAAGAAGTACCTTTAAATGAGACTTTTTAAAACATATTATTATTTTTATTTTATGTGTATGCGTGTATTGCCTGCATGTAGGTAAATGCACCCATGTCGTGCAATGCCCGCGGAGGTCAGAATAAGCTGTCGGATCCCCTGGGACTGGAGTTATGGAGAGTTGTTAGCTGCCATGTGGGTGCTGGGATTTGAACCCAGGTCTTCTGCAAGGACAGCCAGTGTTCTTAACCTCTGAGCCATCTCTCCAGTGAAACTTTTAAAAGGTTTTAAAAGTAAACTTTTTTATCTGGGCTTATTTTCTCCAAAGAAGGCTGGTGGGAAAGGGAATGGGTGGAGTTGATCCAGGACAGCTGTACCAGCAAGATCTTTTAAAGTATAAGAAATAACATCAAAATGAAAAATATGCTTTATTTCAAAGCCCTGACTTAGCAGAGCCTTCCTCTCCAAGTTTCAGTCCTGAGCTTGCTTCCAAAGGCCCACACCATGCAGCTCTGCTAACCCTGTCACCCTCTCCTGCAGTGGCACCTCCTTAGGACTCAGGGAAAGTGGCCTGTCACAGCCAACCTGTCAGGAAAGCTGTAAGCCTCACACCTTGTTACCAAATGGACACATGGACTTCCTACTTGAATGTGATGCATGTGGGGACTGACATAGGTAGAAGAGCCTTGAATAGTGTTTGGATGGCTTGGAATTAGGGGTAATTAGAGTATAGATGAACCTGTGAGAGATCCTCAGGGCTCCCAGGGACAGTATGCCTCAAGGAGAGAAGGGCATAAGCTTTAGATTTAGAGCAAACCCTACTTCTAAAACTCTAATTCTCTTTTCCCTCCTGAGGAAGCTTCCTCTTCCTGTGTCCTGGGTGGTCACATAGCCACTCTGGGCTCCAATTCCCTTCTCTTAAAATATGGATGATGAAATCTACTTGGCTGCACTATCACAGTGACCAAGTGAAATAACATGTAGACCAGTGCCAGAGACATAGAAGGTCCACATAGAAGGCAGGCCATGACTGCTAGTGTCTACTAGCTACCTCTGCAAATGGCCCTCAGAACACTTTAAGATATGATCTGGAGCCAAGTGTGGTGGTGCACACCTTTAATCCCAGCACTCAGGAGGCAGAGGCAGGCAGATCTCTGTGAGTTCAAGGCCAGCCTGGTCTACATAGTGAGTTCCAGGACAGCTGGGGCTACAGGGAGACCCTGTCTCAAAAAGACAAAAAAAAAAAAAAAGATATGATCTGGAGCTTGAGCGTCTCCATGGAGGAAACATCCCATGAAGAAGTACCCATGAACTTACAGAACCCTCCATCTGAACCCAGGACACATCTTCCTCTATGCTGTGTTCCACTGGGAATCTTTCCCATCTTTCTATTATACCAGGGCTCCTTGTCTTCCCCTAATTATAGTCGCCCTTTAGTTCCTTTTATTACATTTCTACATAAACTGGAGTACAAGCCAGTGATTTGAGCTGTCTCAGGGAGAGATTTGGAACAAATGTGACCAACATAATATACAGAAACCCTGGCAAAGTAATTTTTTAAAAATTCACATATAAATTCCTAATAGAAAGAAAGGGAAGGGGCACAGACAATCTCTCAGGAGTACAGGTGGCTAATGAACATTTTTTAAAATGCAGCCTCAATACAGAATAAAGGGAAATTCACATGTGGGTTAAATTCAGCTTACCAAATTGGCTAAGGTTCTAAAATGATGTTTGATGCTGGTAGTAAAGCTACTGCTAACACTTCAGGGACAATGCCAGATGCTAGTGACACAGATAGCCTATGAGATGCTTTCCTGTCCTAACTGGAGGGCAATTTGGTGAAAAATGTCTGCAAAGAAATTTGGCAGCATGTGTCAAAAGCCTCTAGAGAATTCATACTTTCAACCTGGCCGTTCCACTCTCAAGAATCTATTCTAAGAAAAGAAGATACACTGTCACGGTATGTGAGCAAGGTGTTCACCATAGTGCAATCTGTGATCTGTGATTGGCAAAACCTCAAAACAAGACATAAATAGATGATAGATAGATAGATAGATAGATAGATAGATAGATAGATAGATAGATGATAGATAGATAGATAGATAGATAGATGATAGATGATAGATAGATAAATAGATGATAGATAGATAGATAGATAGATGATAGATAGATAGATAGATAGATAGATGGTAGATAGGTGATAGAAGATGATAGATGATAAATAGATAGATGATTGATAGATAGATAGATGTTAGATGATAGATAGATGATAGATAGATGATAGATAGATAGATAGATAGATAGATGGATGGATGGATTAATGGATGGATAGATGAACTGTGGTGGTTTGAATGAAAATGTTCCCCATAGGCTCCAAATATTTGGACATTTTTGTCCCCAGATGATGGTACTGTTTTGGGAGGTCTTAGAAGGTGTGGCTATCCTGGAGGAAGCATATCACTGGGGATGGGCTTAGCGAGTTCTTAAGCCTTGCCAGATCTCCAGTCCCTCTCTTGCTTCCTGTGCCTGCATGATGATGTGAGAGCTTAGCTTCTGCTGCTCCTGCTCCAGCCACCTCCAGCTTTTTTTCACCACCACAATGGACTGTAATTCCCCTGGAACCATAAGCTCAAATAAACTCTTCCTTCTATAAATTGCTTTGGTCAGTATTTCTATCACAGCAACAGAAAAGTGACTAATACAGATGATTGATGATGATAGATAGATGATAGATAGATGATAGATAGATGATAGATAGATAGATAGATGATAGACAGATGATAGATGATAGATAGATGATAGATAGATTGATAGATAGATGATTGATAGATGATGAGAGAGGGAGAGAGAGAGAGAGAGAGAGAGAGAGAGAGAGAGAGAGAGGAAACAAGGACTGGAGAGAGGGCTCAATTGGTAAAGCACTTGCTTCAAAAGCACAAGGACCTGAGTCCTATCCCCTAGAACCCACATGAAAATCTGGGTGTAGCAACATGTGCCTGTAATCTCAATACTGGGTAGGTATAACTAGGCAAATCCCTGGAGCTTGCTGGCCAGCTAGTCTAGCTGAATCAGTGAGGTCCAGGCTCAGTGAGAGACCCCTGTCTCAGAAAAATAAGGTGGGGAACAACTGAGGAAGGCACCCAACAGTGACCTCCAGCCCCCCATACGTTCATGCACATGCACCCGCACACATGTACACACTAAACAGATGTGCATATGTATCCAGCACACACATACAGCAGTAAGAGAAAAAGTGAAAGCATTAAGACATATTCATAGTGTACGCTTACACTGTAATTATGATAAATTATTTAAAAAATAACAGCAATGAAATGCTTAAGAAAAGAAAACAGAGCATATATTCACATGAACAGAAATGAACCACTTTTTCTTTTTTAAGATGCCTCCAGATAAGGGTTCTAAGTTCATCTTTGGGGAACAGGTAGGCATGGGTGGAGAGACACATAATGGGTTTTGAGGCCTGTGGGAAACCACGATATTCTTGCTCCCACCTCAAGGCCTTTAACTCCCGGTTCAAAGGCTGAGCTACAACACTATTGCAGGGTGAAAATAGCCTGGGGGATTTGAGTCTACAACGCACCCCAGAACCTGAGAAATGTAGAAATGTCCATTCCAGCTTTTGTCTATGGGAGAGTTGGGCCATTTCATCTTCTATATAGTTGATGAGTTTTTCCCAATGATTATGGACCACTTTTATAACCAAAGGAAAAAATAAAAAGGATATTGTTGGAATGCAGGGCACTATTGGTGAGGCTCACAAGGACCAAGAGCAAAGGATAGTCTTAGACCAGACAGACAGTTCTTCAGTCTCAGCTCAGTGTGCCTAGGCCTCCTGGAGGTAGCAGGCACTATATCCACAGCTGGAGCCAAGGCAGGGCCTCAGAGAAGCATCCAGAATCTGCAGGGCTTCAGCTATGAATAGCACACCCCTAGCATACCAATGGAGTGTTTATTCCCAGCCCAGAGCTACTGAAGTCTGTTCCCTCTTTGATAGACACACACACACACACACACACACACACACACACACACACGGGCGGGGGGGTGCTTAAAATAGCATAAATATAGATTGGTGCAGTCTGACACCTTTAGGGAACACACACACACGAAGCTCTAGTTGAATTTTAAAGAGGAAGATGGTTGTGGTGACTAGGAAGGGTGAAGATACATTTCCTAATGTGTCTGAGGGAGCTGCCAGAGCCTCAGCACAGCATAGCTGAGACTTCTGCCCCAGAGGCCCATGTCACTCCACGACAGCTTAGTGGCATCAGTGAAATGAGCTCAGGGTTCCTCTAGAGTTTCCAATGTCTGTTGGTCAAATGATACCTTGCTGATTCTGTCATCCCTTCCCCCCTCCTCCTCCCATCAGAAGCCTGAGCTAAATTGCCTGGGGGACAGTACCTTGCTATCTTATTGGATAGGTGTGTTCAGAGAGAAAAACAGAAGGTTCAGGCTCCAACACTGCTCAGCGGTCCTGATATTCAAAACACAAAGTAATCAACCAGATCCTACACTTTGACTTTGTGTCACTTTTTAAAAAATATTTTATTTATTATTTTTATTTTATGTGTATGAGTGTATTGCCTGCATGTGTGTGAGTGCACCCGTGTCGTGCAATGCTGCGGAGGTCAGAAGAGGGCTTCAGATTCCCCTGGAACTGGAATTAAGAACGGTTTGTAGCCACCATGTGGTTGCTGGGACTCAAACCCGGGTCCTCTGCAAGAGCAGTCAGTGCTCTCAACCACTGAGCCATCTCTCCAGCCCCTGTGTCACTTTTCTTAAAAAAAAAAAAAAAAAAACGTGGAGGGCTCAGCTCAGTTGGGAAAGTGCTTGCCTTGTAAACATGACTGGGTTCAGTCCCCAGGATCAGTGTTTTTAAAAAGGCAGCGCTGGGGCTGGAGAAATGTCTCAGTGGTTAAGAGCACATACTGCTCATGCAGAAACTCCAAGTTTGGTTTCCAGCATCAACATCAGGCAGCTCACAACCTGTAACTCCAGCTCCAGGGGATCCAACACCTCTGGCCCCCACAGGTGCCTGCACTCACATGCACATACCCACACAAAGACATGCATACATACACATAATTAAAAATAGTATCTTTTTAAAAATGTCAGGTATAGTGCCAGGCATGGTAGCACACACCTTTAATCCCAGGACTCTGGAAGCAGAGGCAGGTAGATCTCTGTGAGATCAAGGCTGACTACATGGTGAGTTCCAGGTCTCCTGGGGCTATAGGGAGATGCTGTCTCAAAAAGATTAAGAAAAAAAAAGGTCAGGTATAGTGACAAACACTTGCAATTCCAGTGCTGGGGAGGTGGAGACAGACAGATCCCTGGGTCTCACTGACCAGCAAGCCTAGTCTACTTGGTGAACTCTCAGTCAAGTTAGAGGCCCTGTCTCAACAAAACAAAACAAAAATATTGACAGCACCTGAGGGTCCTCTGACTTCCACACACACATGTGCACCTGCCCCATCCCACACACGTGCACGCACATGCACATACACACACACATACACGCACACCAGAATTCAGTTGGTTGAATCATAGAGGCATTAGTTCTGCAAAATGTGGCTCAGCCCAGGGCCCAGTAGGATGGGCATTCAAGCTCCACTTCCGTTCCTACATTGCCAGATACTCAAAGTGTCCTTGAATTGTTGACACTTTTCTTGCTGGGGTTTATAAACCCCATGAGGGGCCCAGTAGGAAAGTTTAACTGACTTCTGGAAGGGCTGATGAGTAAAGATTCGTACTATGTCTCTGAGTGTCCCATGCAGCTAATAATAAAAGCAGCTTAGAGAGTGTTAGGGCATTAGAGAGTAGAGCTGGGGCTCCCCTGCAAGGCACCTCAATCAAAGTCAGTATTGACTTGGCCTCAGCTGAGCTGGCTGCTTAGAGGATTTGCATTTCCCCCAGCAGAGTTGCTATGAAGAAGCTTCCAGATCTGTGGCATCCTGTCCACTCAACAGGCAAACTAAGAGATAAGGACAGCAGAGCCTCATCAGATCCACAGACTAGCAGAGAGGGGAGCAGGGGGGTAGGCCATGTCAGCAGGGAGTGAGGGGAAGTGGAGTCAGAAAAGCACTTTCAATTTGGTGCCCACATAGGGTAAAAAACCATTAACCACATGCACACAGCATGATGGATTCCATAGGTCTAGTTTTCACAAGGGAATTGGGAAGCCCAGCCAGTTTTTTTAAGGCATCACATAGAGAAGTAGTGACGAACAGAAGCCCTGGCATCAAGCAGGCTCGAGTTCAAGTGTTCACTGTATCACTTACTAGAAGTATGATCTTGGGAAAATTGTGTGACCTCCCTCAACTTGGTACCTTCTGTTAGGGTGTGGTAATTGTGGTACCTATTTCATACGGCTGCCAGGCTTACATGTGTGATATAGTTGGTATGGTTCTGACTACTCAGTGCCAACACTCAGTAAGTAGTGTTTGATCATTATTTGTACAAAGCAAGGGGTTTTTTAAAGTATGTGCATGCATATGTGTATTTGCATGTATGGGGGTGTATGCATGTGTGAGGATGTGCATGCACCTGTGTGTGCACACTCAAGTACACATCAACATATGGAGGCCAGAGGACAGCCTCAGGAATGTCAGTCATCCATCTCCTTTGAGGCAGAGTCTCTGGCTGACCTGGAGCTCACTGATTAGGCTAGACTGGCTGGCCAGTGGGCTCCAGGGACCCTCCCGTCTATAGCTCACCAGTGCGGGAATTACAAGCATGTGCCACCACAGTCAGCATTTTTGCAAGAGTTCTGGGAATCAAACTCAGGTCTCATGCTTGTGAGACAAGTGCTTTCTAGACTGAGCCATATCCTCAGCCCCACCAAGCAAATTTTGAATAAGCATCTCATCAACAGAAACCCTGACTGATCGGACACTTTGCCAGTCTCTTCTTTCTACATCTAATATTTTAGAATCTGGAGGTGGGGAGGGGAGGGATTCTATAACTAGAATTCTATAGAATTCTAGTAAATTCTATAAATTTATTAGAGGCCCATGACAAGGAAGAGGCAATGATTTCCTTTTTATGTTTTAATTTAATATGTGTATATTTTCCTGCATGTAAGTGTACCACATGCATATAATGCCCGTGGAAGCCAGAAGAGGGCTTGGATCCCCTGGAAATTGAGTTATGGATGATTATTAACTGCCATATTGGTGCTGAGAACCAAATCTAGATCCTCTGCAAGAGCAGCCAGGGCTCTTAATCACTGAGCCATCTCTCCAGCCCAAGATAATGATTTCTTGAGAAAAAAATAATTTTAATGTCTATTTTTATTGAATTTTTGTGGACTTCATGCAATATATTTGGGGGCGTTGTTTTGTTTTGTTTTTTGTTTTGTTTGGTTTTGTTTCTCGGGGCTGAGGCCCGAACTCAGGGCTTTGCGCTTGCTAGGCAAATGCTCTACCACTGAGCTAAATCCCCAACCCTCATAAAACATATTTTAATCTTATTTAGACCCCCCTCTCTGCACCCTTCCATAGTCCACCCACAGGATATCACACATTCTATCTCATACATTAAAGCCTATTGAGGTGAGTTTGTATACCTAGCTGTCTCTCAGTGTGAGTTCATCCACTGGAGCCTGTTCAGCATATCTAGCATCACTCCCTTAAAGACCAACTCTCCCTCACCCAGCAGTGATCAGCTGCCAATAGTTCTTCAGCTATGGTTGGGGCTTCCTGCCTATTTCCCCAGTTGTATGCTGGTCTTTATATGATTGAGTTTTTATGGGTCTTGTGCATGCTGTCACCATTGCTGTAATTTCATATGAGCAGGTTTCCAGGAGCCTGTAAGACTGTTTCCTAATGGTCATGCACTACCCCTGGCTCTTACAAGAGAGATTTATAATTTTTATTTGCACTAAATAGTAAGCTTGATCACAATCATCAGTGTACCTGGGGCACTCGGTTCTAGAATCTTCTTTCCAATCTACCAAGATAGAATTGCACATTCTTTTTTTTTTTTTACTTATAATTTTTTTTATTTATATTTTTACTTTATGTGTATGAGTGCATTGCCTGTTTGTATATAAGCGCACCCATGTGGTACAATGCCAGTAGAGGTCAGAAGAGAATGTAGGAGCCCCTGGAACTGGATACAAATAGTTGTTAGCTGCCATGTGGGTGCTGGGAAATCGAACCCAGGTCCTCTTCCAAAGCAGTCAGCGCTCTTAACTGCTGAACCATCTCTCCAGCCCCTGAAATGCACATTCTTAAGTTTTCATAAAGCTATATACAAAGTAGGTATGTCATAAATACATGTGGGATAATATGGCTAAGAAAGGACTAGTGGATTTTCTAGAAATCACTCCCAGGCTGCTGGTTTTCCTTTTCAATACAGAATTAAACCCAGTATTTAGTGAGAGGTTCTACTGAACTGATCTGGAGCTGGACCAATCTTCCTGAAGCTTCTTCAGAAAGAATCTGTAACCTCAGGGTCACCCTCTTTCCCCTGGGGTGTGTGATCCCACACATCTGCATATTACAGGTGTGCGTATCACAGAGGATAACCCAGAAACAGTATAAAGAAGCCCACTGTGTGGTACTCCTTGGTCTTCTCTGGTTCCTCCCTCCCTTTGGGACATGTGAATTGTACTCCCCAGGGCTTTTTTTTTAATTGCCTTTAATGAATTGTCATGCTTGACACAGAGGGCTTTCTTCTGTGCTGAATTTGTCTCTTCTCAACACAGATCCAGTAGTTCAACAAGAAGGACTGATGTGTTCAAGTGAGACCAAGCTGAAGAGACCAGCTCGAGAGAGAAGCTTTGCCTCATCCACACAGCTCACAAGAACAGCTGGGAAGCCCCGTGAGAGAGCCAAAACAGGAGACCCAAGTGCTCATTCCCAGAATGAGTCCCACGCATCCCTCTCCCAGCCCTTTCAGGCAGCAACCAGTCTTCAGGTGTCGAATGAGTCCTTGGGGCCAAGAAGGGTGCCGTTCAGGTTCCATGATGAAGATTTTTATTCTGCAATATCATTAAACGCCAGACAAGAAAATTATGACACGGAAGAGGAAACCCACATGGAAGAAGAACTTCTGCTTGTTGGCATGTGCTCACCCCACTCTCCTCTCAATCACAAAGGAAGTCGATTTCTTGGGACCTCGGCCACTCAAAATAGAAATGCTGAGGAAAACGCTGAAAACTGCAGGCATAATTCTTTAAGAAGAAGCAAGTCCAATCTTGGCTCCTTAAGAAAAAGCAATACGATGGAACAAGTAACAAAGCAGCCTTTGGTTGGGCAAAGGATGTTCCAGGACTCCAGGCTACCTGCTGAGCCTGCCAAAGAGAGTAACAGTAGAGACCAGGAAAGCGAGAAGGCCACTCATTCAGGGGAGGCCATACCTAATGACCTCATCATCCCAGATGATGTCAGCACTAAAGAGTCCAGTGATTGTTCGTCTCTGGAAGACAGACCTGGCGTTCATGATTATGACCAAGATCGGCAAAATTATTTAAGTGATTCTAGAAATTCTTTGAACTGCTCACTTTCTGGGAGACCCACAGCTCCAAGACCTTCAATGAATTCAGCTTATAACACTCCTGGATCACTACTGCATTCTGCTCTGATAGATGACATCCCAGCAGACTTCTCATTGTCATCTATTTTAGTTCCCAGTTCAGACTTGGAGGAAAACTTAAGGTTCAATACACGCCGGCCACTGTCTCCTATTAGAAACAGGAACATGTTGGCCAGTGCTGAAGGCCATAATGGGTTTGACATCAGGGAATCAGAGGACATGTCTTCAAGGAGCCAACCTCAGGGGGCTCTGTGCTTAGCAGAAGATCTCCTAGCACATCCTCAAAGCAGCTCGACCTCAGGGAATTCACCCAGCTCTTCTCCAAGAAGAAACGTACAAGGTCGTTTGTATGTGCCTGGGTCCCTGCAAGAAAACATACCTTTTACTTTCTTTGCAGTGTCTGATGTTCCAAATCAAAATGATAATGGGACCAGCATAAGAGTGTCTAGTGTTATAGATGAAAAGGGAGCCACAATGAAGGCGGACCCCGAGAAACTCAGGAAATTGCAAGAAAGGTGAAGAATTTTTGTAATTATACTACCTTCCCCTCCCCTATTTCCCCCAGTACTGTCACAAGCATTGTTTCCATTAGAGAAATAAGGGAATTTTTAATCCTAGCTTGGATCTTCCTTGACATTTTAATGAGATTGCTTATTTTGAGAAAATTGTCCCTAGTCTGTTTCCCCTATGTACAAAGAAGAGTTGAGATAGCATTCAGTCACATCAGTATTCCCCAAAGCACTTTTTCCTTGAGTAGCATAACTTTAAGAATGACAAGGGCCAGTGAGATGGCTTAGCAGGTAAAGGCACTTGCTGCCAAGACTGAGGACCTGAGTTCAATCTCCAAGACTCACTTGGTAGGGGAGAACTGACTCCCTAAAGTTGTCCTCTGACCTCCACACATGTGCTATGGACTTGCACACGCACGTGCACACACACAGTAAAATAATAAATGTAATTAAAGATAAAAAGGAAGAAAGCAAAGTTTCAGGGATGCAGAGTTTTCAGGTGAGCTAGCGCTTTTCCCCAGCAATTGGGAATTGGGGTTTCTTCTTTTTTGGAAAAGGTTGCTGTCTTCCCCAGAGAATGAATGATTCTGCTCTTGAAGTTCACAGCTCTCCCTCACAGGACTTACTGCAAATCTATCCAACAGTTTTAGAATTTAAACCTTCCAAACTAAAAGGCTGGTCCCAAACAGTTACCATAGTTACCTCTGTTCTCTGAAGGGCGGAGCTGGAGTAACCACCGCCTCCATTTTATGTGCTCTTTTTCAAGCATGAGAGAGAAAAACAAGATCCTTTTTTGAACTGCCCTTTTCTTTGATCTTTCCTTTCTCCTGAGGTGATTTTAGTATGTTTCACAGCTATGAAATTGGATACTTTTAAAAGTCATCATTAAACACTGTGTCAGAATTCTACCATCTCATTTATCATAGGTGTTTTCTGTGCCCTAATCTTGGCTTAAGGATCTGGGAAATTGATTCTTGGAATGTGGACCCTCTTTGTATATGTTAGTATGGCCTCTCTGGACTATTAATTATCCTATGAATGTCCATTTGTAAGGAGAAAAATTCCATGATAATGAATTAAAAATGGAAAAAAGGAGAAACTATGCATACATTCCTCTAACTACAGAAGGATTTGTGTGTGTGTGTGTGTGTGTGTGTGTGTGTGTGTGTGTGTGTGTTTGCAGGTACACACACACACGAGCATGTGGAGGCACAAACTTGGCATCCAATGTCGTCTTTAATCACTCTTCACTTTGTTGAGGCAAGGGTCTCTCACTGAACCAGAGCTCTCCACTTCTGTCTAGTCTGGCAAGCCAACTGGCACAGGATCCCCATCTCTGACTCCTGAATGCAGGGATTACAGGCAGCCTCCACGGGTGCCCAGCTACAAGGAACTTTCTAATTGTCGGTGTCTTTTCTTTTCCATAGTTAAACAAGCCACCAGAAGATCCATCCATGGTTAAGGCCAAGAGACATCACAGCCACCCATCTTCATCTACCCCAAATGTAGCTTCAGATATACTTGTCAGAGGTTCAGATTCCAGCCATCCCAAAGTGATGCCTTTGGGCTCAAAATAATGTCTTTTAAAATGCACATGCTTCTAGGCATGGGGCTGCATTAAACAGCTATTATTCATAGAGTGCTTAGTTTATTGGATGTTCTTTTGCTGTATATAATAAACTTAGATTTATCATTCCAAAATTTTCCATTTTAGGAAGTATATTTAAACGTGGATTTAAAACACCTACAACCCTGTCATCAGGAGGGAGCACTGCTAAAAACCTTCTTTCCAGTCTTTTATCTGTACATATAACTGCGATTTTTAGTAAACATTGGTTCATAATGTTTTATAAAATATTTTACTCTTTCAAGCCCATTTCTAAATGCTTCTTATGTTTTAAAGAGTTTTCCCTTCAAATAGCTACATTTTTTGGAGAAGGTGGTTTGAGACAGGAACTCATTGTATCCCAGGCTTGTCTTGAACTCACTATGTAGCCCAGACTGGCTTCAGACTTACAGCAATCCTCCTGCCTCAGCTTGCTGAGTGCAATTAGTTACTTTACTACATACAGATAAGTATATGATACACGTATGCTTTAGAGAATTTTTTTCAGATGGGGTCTCACCATGTAGTCTATGCTGGCCTTTAACTTGCAATAATTTTCCTGCCTCTGCTTCCTGAGTATTAGAATTTTGGATATTTGCTACATGCCTGGCTAAAGAATTTTTTCACACACACACACACACACACACACACACACACACACACAGCATCCTAACATCCCCAAGCCCACCTCCAGCTAGCAGAACATTCTTGGCATAGTGGAGCCCTCTGGGGCCTTGCCCACCCAGTGTCCTCCCCGCCCCTCACACTCTCCACTCTTTCATTGTGCTCATCATTCTTCTGCCTTTTGTTTTGTGTTTGGGAGTTTTTTGCTCTGCCTTACCATGTAGATATGTGTATTCCTAATGCTGATATTATTGTTGGACTCTGTAGAAATTGAATCATAGGGCCCTGGGAGATGGACTCAGTAAAGTGCTTGCTGAACCAGCAGTTCATTCAGATCCTTAATACCTGTAAAGTTCGGGCTCTATAGCCCTAGTGCTAGGTGGGAAGCAGAGACAGCCGGATTCCTGGAGCTCATTGGCTGGCTAGCCTAGCTCAATCAGTGAGCTCCAGGTTCAGTGAGACCCTGTCTCAGAAAATAAGGTGAGTCTGGGGAGGCCCAACATGCTGATGTGCATGCATCCACATATAACATATGTGTACACTACACACTGTGTATACACACACATACTCACACACTCACACACTCACACACACACACAATTGAACCTTTATTCTTCTATGATTTGCTTTTCCTTCATTAGTGAGCTGCATCCTTGTTGATATTTTTGGTTTTATTTTTTCATTTTCACCACCACAAAGTATTTGTTTGTGTAAATGTTCCACTATTTAGCCATTCCCCTGTAGATGGACATTTGAGTTTCCTGTTTTCTGCGAACAGTGATGTACCAGCACTCTTTTAAATGTCTGCAAATGCATGTGGGAAGAGTTCTCTGACATGTTTGTCTTGGAGCACAATGGCTGGGCTGGTGGGAGCACATCCTCCACTGTAATACATAATACCAATCTGTTTTCCCACCAGCAAGGCCTAATGTGCCTCCCTGACAATACTTACATTAATTGGTTTTTCAAATGTGCCAGTCTGATGGGAATAGAAAGATATCATGGCTTTAATTTGCATTTTCATGGTCATTAATGAGGTTAGGCACTTTTATCTACTCTCTTATGTTAAATGATACTGTTTGTGTTTCCTAGTCTGTGAAATGCAGGTTTGTTTGTTTGTTATTCTTCAAGTCCTTTATATATTGTAGCTCCTAATCTTATCTTTTGACAGTTAAGTATTGGAAATATCACTTCCCAGTTTGTAGTTTATCGTCTTTCTCTGTGATAGCTTTTAATGAAAACAAACTGCTAATTTTAACGAAGTCAACTGTGTCCATCCTTCTCTGGGTTGCAGTTGGCATCTTACCTGATTAAGCAACCCTTCCCTAATCTGGGGTCATTATGATGTTTTTTTCTATTTGCTTCCAAAATCTCTAGTTTTCCTTTGCAAATCTGTAGGACTTGATGTGGAATGAGTTTGAGGTTTAAATGTGAAATGATTTTTTAATATATGGCACGGGAGGGGGATTGGTTGGTTTGCTGCCTTTGTTTTTCTGGGGGGCAGGGGGTTGTCCCTTGTCAACAGACAGTCATCCTATGGCTGTGCCTGCTGGTCTGCACTGTCATGAATACAATGCCCACAGATGCAGCAAACCGAGTCTGGGTGTAGGCTCTCTGATCTGTCCTGTTGGCCTCACTTGTCTTTCCCTGACACCCTAATGTCTGCAGCAAGTAAAGGTTTTGATGAGGATGATGCACAGTCTTCCTCCCCACATTGTTCTTCAGAGACTTTGAATACATGCCTAAGAGTCTGCTTGCAGGGAATTTTTTTAAATTGCATTGAATCTGTATGCTATCTCAGCAGTGTTTGCAACTATGAAATATTGATCCTTTGATGTGCATGGTATAGCTCTTGACTCTTCTCTTATGCAGCTCTATCATTTTCTTTATAAAAAGCCCTTCGATTTGTCTCGATGTTCTTTGATTTGCTGCAGTTTGCTATTGGAACAATATTTTCAATTCTCTTTGTGGCTCATATATAGAAATGCAATTTACTATAATCTTCATCATCTTTATTTTCTGACTTTTTGTTAAGCTCTCTCATTATTTACAACATTTTGTCTGTAGATTGTTTTGGTTTTCTATATAGAAAATAATTTCAACTGTGAATAATATTTTAGCTCATTTCCTTTCAAACCCTATATTTTAAATGTTTTTAAGCCTTACAGTACTCTATCATTATTTAAGGATGGATGGTTTTATATTACATATGCTTTCTGTCTTTTCATCAGTCATGCTTCTTTTGGGATCTATGTACACTTGTTTACCTACAGTAACTTTCTGAATACACACCTGCTGATCAAAGGGAATACACATGCCTAAAGTTCATAGTGTATCAGACTGCTTTTTAAGAAAGTTCTAGGGCCTGAGGAGATGGCTCAATTGGTAGAGTACTTGCTGTGCACTCATAAGACTCTTGAGTTGGGATCTCCAGTACACATGTAAAAAGCCAGGCAGAGACAGGAGAATCCCTGGAATCTGCTGGCCCGTCAGTCCTGCCAATCGTGAGCTCCAGGTTTAGCAAGAGACCCTGTATTAAAATTTGAGCCAGACGTGGTGGCACACGACTTTAATCCCAGCAGCACTCAGGAGGCAGAGGCAGGTGGATCTGTGAGATCAAGCCCAGTCTGGTCTATATAGAGAGTTCCAGGCCAGCTGGGGCTTTGGTCTTTTGGAGACAGGGTCTCCCTGCAGCCCCAGCTAGCCTGGAACTCACTATGTAGACCAGGCTGACCTCAATCTCACAGAGATCTGCCTGCCTCTGCCTCCCAGGTGCTGGAATTAAAGGTGTGGACCACCATACTCGACTCCTTCTAATATTTTGTTTTTATTTCATACATAATAGACGCTAAAACTATAGGCTTTGTTGTCTTACGGTTCTAAGTTGGATTTCTGATTCTACTACACACACACACAAAGGAAATTCTAGAATGTTGCAATCTTACCACCATTTTATGAGAATCCCTCTCTCTATACCCTTGCCAATTCCAGGGATTTCATGTCTGTCAAACGATCAGCCAAAAATTCTGATCAGTTCAATCTGCAAAGTTTATGCTTATTAGCAATGTTGAACTTTTTCCATGTTTAACTGTCAGTTTGCATTTCTTCATTTACTTAATCATTTTTGTCCATTTTATACTAGGTGATATCATTTATATCAACTAGAATATGTCAACATCTTTATATAAAATCAATAGCAGTCCGGTGCCAAATATCAGACAGTTCTCCTCTATTTGTCTCATTTTATTTACTTTATATTTTATGTGCTTCATATTTTTTACTTTACTTCCAATCAGATCCAACCAAATTTTACTTATGGCTTTTGCATTTGCCATGTTTAGTAAAACGCAAGGACCACTCAGCTCTCCATGACCATTTTCTTCTAGTATTTTTATTTTCTCATTTCAAGCAACAAAGAGGTGGGAAAATGTGGATTTTGTTTATAGTTCTAATTTAGATTTCCAATCCTACCAACTATAAATATTAGCTCTTTGATTTGGGAAAAGTTCATTTCCAGAAATGTTTTTCCAGTTAGTAAATAAAAAGAACAACACATACTCTCCCTCAAAGAGCAGTGAGACTAAATGAGGCTTTAAATGTTGATGTCTTATGTTGTAGACCTCCTGCCACAGTGATTGGTGCCTGTGTTTAAATGTATGTGGAATGCATTTGGGTGATGGGGTGGGTTCTAATGTTTTCTTTTTTAACAATTGTCCCACAATTATTCTCCCATTTCCTGACTAAAATGCCTTCTTTGGTACCCTCTGTCCTTGCTGAGTGTTCAGGAGACTTTTGTTAATCTGCCTCAAATGTTGCATTGATTATACACTTTAATTATTATAGATTTACACATTTTA